CACGACAAAACGTTCCCCCGCTCCTTTTTAAGAACCGTGGTACCGCACGGTGCAGGCTTATGAATGAATCATACACGTACCACAGTGATGTAGGCGATTGCTACAACCAGTTACAAAAATGTTGAGACACTCCCACGGGGAAAAACGACCTTTCTTGCTTCAAATCGCCCTTGGTCACAGGTCTGTAAAATATAATACTGACCTCCCTCCTCCCTCCCATTCAAAGTTGTTCCTCCAAGTTTGAGTATGGTCTTGTATTGCTAGCAACTTTGATAAGGGGTGGAGCGGGAATCACAAGGACAAGATCATGGACAGGCCATTTATGCCAAAATACGGTACAGTGTCTCAAGTACTTTTGCAACTGGTTGTAGCTCTCATCTTATTATACTTTTTTGCATTGAGAGGCTGAAATAAAGACTTCCGTGTACAATGAGTGTGCGTCTTTTTTCGTTTCGTTTTTTTAGTGTTTAGGGACGATGTTTACAAGGCCCAGTCTGCCCCGCGGCTCACGTACTGTCAAGTTTCTGATTGGTTTCTTCGTTAGTCCACGAACACAAAGGGAAAGGAATGTGGTTCGATCAATCAATCAATCAATCAATCATTTATTTTAACACGTCACGTCAAAGAGCTAAAAAACTCGTTCAAAATACGAACGCGTATAAATAAAATCTATAATAATTACAGCTATATAATATTATTCAATTTTAAAAACAACTCAATAAATATATACATATAAAAAACTCGGTAATAAAAACATAAAATATGAAAAGGTAAAACCGACCAAAAAGCCACATACTAAAAACGTGACCAACAAAACTCTAATACTCGTTCTAAAAACAGTTACAAATTACAATCGTGCACTATAAAACACGTTCTAAAAAACTGCAATCGTGCAATTTACTACTGAAGTCATTAGCATTAGCATCGAAGTCATTAGCATCGATTGTAGGGAGGATCGTTGCGTGACGACACTTAAAACGGCTTTGTAACAGACCAGGACAAGGCCAGCCTTGTACGAATTCCAAGAATTTGCCCGATCATTCAGCTTAATTCTACAGTCGAAATAAAATAACTCAACTTGACTGCTACTGACTGTTGGCTTCTGTAGTCTGTGTAGGTAGAGCGAAGATATTTTGACTATAGTTTTCTAATTTCGAGTTGTGCTTCCGCTTTGCAACTTTACGTCATCATATATCGTAGAGGACTATTCCTAAGCGTACCACCTTTTGATCATTACATCCTGTCTTTAAAACATAACTATTTGAAGGATATGTTGCACCCAGGTTTTGTTACGTTCATGACAAATTGTCTCGCAAGACGGAGATATTAATTGCACGTCATTACCGGCTAAAAAGGTAATGGTTAGATGAATCCAATCATTGATTTATTAGAAAAATATAAGGAAATTCCGAAAACAAGGGCCAACGTTACAACCTGTGAGTAGGAATTGTTCACATTTGATCTCCAGAAACGGGCTGAAAATCGGTGAAGGATAACCGCCAGTTTTTGAAACCAACTTCAACGAGTCCAGTAGATAATTTAGATGAAAAACTCTTGATAGTGTTTAATATAGCTTTGCAAATGATCAAACTAAAACGTCGCAAAATTGATAGGGGAGGAAATACGGATAACCTACAGGGGCGGATCTAGGGGGAGGGTGCTGGGGGTGCGCACCCCCCCCCCCCCGGAGATG